AGGTATAAGTGTAATATTTTATGCTTGTTTTAGTAAATTTATAAATAAGAATATAATTGGTATATAAGTGTAATATATATCACAACTTAAAGTAAGGGGTGCAAATTCCTCCATTTATTTCAGGCCCTGTTCGGACAAAACAAACGGAGCAATAAGTGTAAGACTTTTCTTTTTCCAAAATTTTTATCTCGTCTACCAAATCTATATCTATAACTATATAACTGACCAATCTTTATTGCCATAATTGACATAACATTGAGTGGAAAATTTTTCGTCTATATTTGGTATTTAATTAATATTTATTTTTTAGCAAATCTTATGCATGAAAAATATAATTAATTGTTATACACTCAATGACTATTACTCATTATCTACAAATTGACTTAAACTAAAAATTTGAGCCAACACATTTATTAGAATAATTTTCAACAAGATCTTATATTGATTTAATTGTAATTTATTGTCACAATTCAAAAATTATTATAGAAATTAATTTGATTAAATATATCATCATCTACGGTTGTAGGTATTAATTAATTTAATTAATTATATTTACTATTTAGAAGTACTTAAAATATTTAATAAAATAATCAGAATAACTATGTTTAAATCATACTAGCTTAATAAATAATTTAAAATATTAATAAAAATTTCTGAAATGTAATCAATTTATCTATAAAGGATACATCTCCATTGAATATATCATATACAGTGATAATACTATTGAAATTTGAATAATATACCAATAAAAATAAAATTTTATGGTCGGGTGCAATTAAGAATTATAAATTTCACCTTAGAAGTATCTATGTACATAAAGAAATTAATTTTTAAAAGTACATATTTTTACTTATATACTATTGTATAAATGTAAATAAGTTACTAAAAAAAGCAATGTTTAATAATTTAAATTATTGCACTTTCTAATTATGGAAATATGTAATATATCTATATATTCAAATAGATATTATATAACTCATTATATAGGTAGAAAAAAGGAATTAAAGAAAATAAATATAATAAAAAAATGAAAACATAAAAATAAAATATTTAACCATAAAAAATTTGTAGTTGCATAGTACTAAAAGTTAAAACTTATTTATCCAAAGATTTTAATAATTAATGCACATAATAATTATAGGCATAAGATAAATATTATGTGCTAAACGTTGGTCAATTATCAAGCAATGTGTAAATTATGAATTGTTGGAAAAAATTATAAGACTATGATAAACGACAATTTTATAAGTACATACAAGTAATTTGTACACAAATATCATATGATCTTATACATTTATAATTTTTTATAAATATATAAATAATGAAATTTATATATTAAATAGTCAAAAACTACAATATATATATATTAACAATAATAGGAAATAAATAAATGTCATATTATTACTAAATAGAATATTGTGAAAAATATAATTTCATATTATTTTAAATAATTTTATAATATTTAAATAAAAAATATTTTTTGTATTATACCCTGTGCATTGTACAGGTATCAACACTAGTAATTAAGATAACAATATATTCCAATATAATTCCAACTACAAGGATTGAAAATTCTAGATGGACACTCCAACAAACTATCAAATCTTAAAATGCTTAATTTATCGGAAAATATTAAAGTCCCGTTACGGATGGTACCGTTAGTGTTTTTTATCATTAGATACGCATATACATTATGTTATATAGATAATTTACGATAACTAATATTGACGGAACTATTCCGCGATAGGGACTGTAATAGTTCCATAATTTATCTAACTTTTCTAAAGTTCGACCGTGTTGACATGGTCAAAATATTGATACACATACCTCTCAAATTATTTTCCCCAACATCCAAAACCTCAATCTGCGCTACATATCCTTGTTCTCGTGCCGAAAACCCTGAAAAAAAGAAAAAAAAAAAGAAATTTGAAAGTAATTAATAAACAATAAAAGTTCTTTTAATTTATATAATTTTTCAACTTAAAAATTCTCCAATAAGAAGAATGTCACCTGTGAGTTGGTTTTCATATAGAGACAAAACCCTAAGCCTTGGCAAGCTCCAAACCCCACTTGGTATCTCGCCAATGAAATTATTGCCCGCCAGCCTCAGCTCCTCAAGCCCCCGGCAATCCGATATATTCGCCGGAATCCTCCCCTCAAGCCCGTTTTCCGATAGCCTCAACCTCTCGAGTCTCGGAAAATTTCCGCACACATCGTCCGGGAGCCCACCCGACAGCATGTTCCCTCCCATATCGATTCTCTCGATAAACGATGAGACGTTGAAAATGGGGCTCGGTATGGGGCCCACGAGCCGGTTGCTCGCCAGGTTTAGCGTCACGAGCCGGCGGAGGTTGGACAGCTCGGGCGGTATTGGGCCCGTTAAGTTGTTGGATCCGATGTCGAGTGTTCGGAGGAAAGTTAGGTTGCCGAGGTGTGGGGAGATGGGCCCAACGAGACCGAGGCCCGAGATGTTGAGGCTTGTTACGCGCCGGTGTCTCGGGCCGCATGAGACGTGGGCCCAATTGCATGGGGAGGTGGAGTTTGCGGCGGAGGACCAGTTGGCAGTTAGGGTTTCGGTCGGGTCGGAAATGATGGCAGCTCGGAAGGCGACGAGGGATTGTCTGTCGGTGGTGAGGTTGAAGATTGGTGATGAGAGGGTTTGGTGGTGATGATTGTGGTTGAGTAGGAGTAGGGAAAGGTAAAGAGCTAGAGGAAATGGAAATTTGATCTCCATTAATTTCAAATAATAAATTGTGTGTTTGTGTGTGTGTATGTGTTTTTTTTTTTTTTTTTTTTTTTTTTAAATATTTGGATATATGTGTATACTTGTTTAATATAGATGTGTACATATAATATATATAGTGTGAGGAGCTATTTTGTGAGATGCAATGGAAATGCATTTACATTCGTTCCATATAATTCTATATTTATTTTTCAATAATAATTAATTGCGATGTGATATGTACGCGAAAATAGTTAAATGGTGAAATAACACTATTGATAATTATAAGTATAATGTATAGTTAAATGCAAGTCAGTTTTACTATGGAACTAAAGAAGGTTAGGTTCATCGATTGTTCGTGATTGGGTTGAGGCATATCTTCCTCCATTGAATTTTGTTGTTATAGCTCGTCTATTATTGCCATTTTATGTGGCCTACATTGCTAAAATATTATAGTTACAACATTGAGCCATTTGTTTTTCGAAATAATGTTTTATTTTGTTGGAATGTCACTTGTGAGTTGTCTCACATTGATTTGATAGGGTAAATAGGCCTAACTTATAAGCTTAGTGGGCTACTCCTCATACTACTAATTGGTTTTGGGATGGAACCCCACTTGGGCTTCATTTGGACTAACCCTCTTATGGTGCGCTTCACTGTGTGGGACCACACTCGATTTGCCCCCGATTATTTATTTATTTATTTTTAGTCTGACATAGTCAAACGTATTGAGTACGCTGGCTGCCGGGGAGAAGATTGCTGTGCTGGCATGAAAATGAAGTGTTGACTTTGAGTCAACTTATTGGTTACCAAGTTACTGTTAATTAAGTTGTCAGTTATTGTCTAGACTTTTGACACACTATTACGTGGTCAACGGGGCACGACAAACAGTATTTTGTCTTACACTTGGAATAATTTATTAATTTGCATATATATAATTGTTTTGATAAATAATTAGGTTATTGAATCATTTCAAATTATTAGATAGTTAACCATGCATATGATGAAATAAATAAAGTCTAAGAGTCTCTTAATCTAAGAATAAGTTAATATTTTGTATATATCAATTATATATATGCCATGTGATAAAAGAATAACTGCACGGTGACAAAATGTTCTAATTTGACGGCTATTATATTTCTTTATACGAATTTTCTCATATATTTTAGATTTATGTGCATGAGATGACGCTGGGTTTCCAGAACGGGTGGATCCAGATATCCCACAATGGAGAACGAAATATGACTTATAAGAGGGTGTGGATTTCTTAACCTACGAGACGCGTTTTGGTGACCTAGCTCCCAAAGACAAATTAAATCGTGAGGGTGAGAGTGCCCAAAGTGGACATTATTTTGTACCGGGTGAACTGACTGTTACAGCTTAACAAAATATTCTATTTTGAGTGATCATTTTTGCACGACCTTAACATTCCATGCAAGTTCTTTTAATTACAACGTATCACTTGTTGGAGGCATTCCCAACTATTTTTTAGATTATTTCAATTCGTTGTTCATTATGTATATCACGATTCTTATAATAAGTCGATCGAGCTCAAGCTTATTGAATGCTGGTATAGTTAACGAGTCTGCTATACTTGCTCGGCTCGACTCGATTCGTTAAATGGTGTAAATTATTATTATTAGTAGTAGTAGTAGTAGTAGTAGTATAGCTCTCTTGGAGAATAAGTTAGAAATTAAATTTTATTATAAGAGATCTTGTCTTGTTGGACAAGTTATGAATAAGGTTTAAGAACATTATTTAAAGGACTATCTATTGATTTAATTAATTGATTATTGAAATGAAATAAGATTTGATATTGTTTTGGTGTTCTTGAGATTGCGATCTCATTAATATTCAAGATTATCGAATGCTCGTATAGTTAACGAGTCTGCTATACTTTGCTCGGCTCGGCTCGGCTCGATTCGTTAAATGGTGTAATTATTATTATTATTATTATTATTATTATTATTATTTTTTTTTATCGTTAAATAAATTTGTATTGATCAAAACTGAAAGTCATACAACCGAGACGGCTATCAAAAGCATAGTGGGTAGACACATGTCGGCTCCTCACTCGCAAGAACCAAAATAAACGAGGGCAACCACAAGCCGGGTGCTCACTCGAAGAAGGGAAACAATTAATTTCCTCTCTTCAATATCATCCAAGTGCTATACACTTTGCAACAACCAACTCAAAATTTTTCAAAATTCAAGGCCAAGACATCTCCTTTCGAATTCGGCAAGTACACTCGAGTAGGTAGCAAAGATAGTGCGGTAAACATGTGTTTTTACCTTTCTAATCACGAGGCTTGGAGGTTGACTTTCGCTTTCAAAAATCAATCTATTGCGTGCGTTCTAAATGAAGTAGACGGTTGCCGCAAAAGCCGCTTTCTTCAATTTGGCTCGCCAAGTCGTACCTTTCCCTTCTTTTTTAGTCCGTTTGAGGGCGCCTTTAAGGGTAGATGGCATGTGACGGAGGCTAACCCAAATTCTAATTGCACTCCAAATCTCCGAGCTATAGGGACACTCGAAGAAGAGATGACTCGAGGATTCGTTTGCGGTACCACAATGGAGGCATGTGGGGTCTTCGTTGAGGAACTCCAATCTATCCTTTGTTTGGAGCCTATTCATTACGCCGAGCCATAAGATGAAAGAATGCTTAGGGGTATTGCAACTTCCCCAAACAACCCCGGTCCATGGCTTCTCGATACCATTGGGACGGAGAAAGTCATAGCACTTACTCATTCCATCTTGTTTGTCACGCAAATTCCAAGCACGGAGAAGGGCTTCAGCGCCATGCTCGCTACCCGCTTTTTCAATCAAGCTTTGCCGGATTTCAAAGAGGGATTTGAAGAGGGGGGAATCATTTTTGGAAACTTGCCAATCCCAAATAGTTTTCTCCTTCAAATAGATGTTGTGGATCCATTTGTACCAAAGTGAATCCTTCTTTGCTTGCATATTCCAAAGAGTCCTCATGAGAAGGGCTCGGTTCCAAGCGTCCAAGTTACGGAGCCCCAATCCACCCTCCGCACGAGGTAGACACAAAGTATCCCATGCAACGGAGGCTTTTTTGGAGCCCCATAAGAACCTCCTACAAAGTTGAATGATCTTGGTTCGAACAATGCCCGGCAAGTGGAATATGCCCATCCAAAAGCAAGCGATGCCTTGAATGACCGCCCGAATTAGTTCCAATATACCGGCATAGGAAAGGGAGTGACTCCTCCATCCACATAATTGGCTTTCAACTTGTTTGATCATATCATCAAAGAGCCTCCCGGTAATGCGATCCGCGGTGAGGGGAATCCCGAGGTAACGGAAAGGCATAGGCCCGCTTTGCAAACTAGTGTCATCAAGGATTGTCTCACGATCTTGCTCTTTAACTCCGGCCATATATATGTTGGATTTGAGCACATTCATTTCAAGCCCCGATTTTGCTCCAAAATCCCTTAAACAATTCATAAGCAATTGAATTGACCCCGAGTCCCCCCGAGAGAGGAGCATGAGGTCATCGGCGAAGACAAGGTGAGAGATTTTAAGCTTCTCACACATAGGATGGAATTTGAAGTTCGGGTCATCCGCCGTGTGCCATTTAATGAGCCGAGATAAATATTCCATACAAAGAACAAAAAGGAAAGGCGAGAGAGGGTCACCTTGTCTTAGCCCACGAGCTCCTTTGAAATGGTCTTTAAGGCTTCCATTGATGGATAAGGAATATGAAGGGGTGGTGACGCACTCCATGATCCACTTAGTGAAAGCCATTGGGAAGCCTAAACCCTCAAGCATTTGCCTCAAGAAGGCCCATGAGACGGAATCGAATGCTTTACGGAGGTCGATCTTGATCAAGCATCTCGGGGAGACTCTTTTTCTCAAATATTGATGGAGTAATTGTTGCATGAGGTGAATATTGTCTGTCATATTTCTTCCCTTCACGAAAGCGGCTTGGGCTTCATCAACAATAGCGTCGAGGACCTCACTAATTCTCCTTGCGAGGATTTTGGAGCAAATCTTGTAAACCGTGTTGCAACACGCAATTGGCCGAAAGTCCGTGACTCGAGAGGAGTGGGAGGACTTAGGGACAAGCGTGATTCTGGTGTGGTTCCATTGCTTGAGGATGGACCCGGTTCGAAAAAATTCTTTGATTGCCGCAACAAGGTCATTACCAACCACATCACTCTTTAAGAAGAAGGTAGAGGTGTAGCCATCCGGACCCGGGGATTTGTCTCCTTCAATGCCTCTAAGGGTGGACTTGATCTCTTCATCGGTTACCGGGGCAATTAGAGTGCTACGATGGTTGGGGCTAAGGGTCGGCCCCGAACTAAGAATTTGAGGGTCAATGATCTTCGTTTGCACCCCGGTTCCCAATAGGCCTTCATAGTAACGTATAAATTCTTTAGAAACATCCTGCATGGAGCCGGTTAATGTGCCATCCTCACAAGTTATCGAAGCAATATAGTTCCTTTTCGCTCTCTTCTTGACCAAGCTATGATAGAACTTGGTACATTTATCTCCTTTGATTTAGAAATTGCATTTGGCCTTTTGTTGGAAGAAGAGTTTTTCCGCTTTGGCCAAGTTGAGAGCTTGGAGCCTAAGAGGCCCCAACTTAGACTTGATGCCGAGATCATCCGGTTGGTCGTGGAGCATTTGTTGTGTTTCCTTGAGAGCGGCTTTGGCTTCATTGGCACGTGTAGAGATATGTGAGTAAGATTTCTCATTAAGTGCCTTGAGTGAATTCTTAAGATTCTTGAGATTGGTAGTGAGGCGAAATTGCCTCGATCCCCCACCAACATGACTCCAAGTGTCGGAAACACACGGCAAAAAATTTTCATGCAACGTCCACATATTAAAGAAGCGCCAAGGGGAACCCCCATTGGCTCCGGCTTCGAAGACATGAACTAGACAAGGAGAATGGTCGGATATACCCGAGGCAAGGAATGAGGCATGAGAGAAATAATCGGCATTCACCCATTGGGGGTCCATCATAGCTCTATCCAACTTGGCCAAACATGACTATT